CTGGGGAATTCGTGATAAACTGTTGCTAGCGAGAAGGGACTGGACACCCACGACGATGGTGTACATTAGGGCGTGATTAGTAGTGGCAGGGAGATCTTTGCCAAATAAAAAACGATGGAAGGACTTAAAGTTATAACATTTTATAAGTGTTATTTGACCCTTAAGAGTTTATTCTGTTAACCAGTAGATTAGTTATGAATTCCCCACGCCCATCCTCACCTCTTGCTTATCTTCCCTCCCTGCTGCAGCTTCTTAGTTGATGTCTTACTTTTTTCTTCCAGTCCCCTCCCCTCACTTCTGACTGAATGCCAGGCTCTGTGCTGGGCCACAGGAGTCACCGGTGGAGCATACAGGCCTGGTCTCTGACTCCATTCAGCTTGCAGTCTAGTGGGGAAGATATATGGGCATTTATAACATGCAGTGTGATCAGCTCTACGATGGGAAATGCAGGGTGCATCGAGGGTCCGAGGGCAGGGACTCTACCTGGTGAGTCCTCAAGGATGGGTTCCAAGCTGAGATCTGGAGGGTGGGGTGACTTAGTGGAGGGGGTGTGGCAGTGGCAGAGTTTCCTGGCAGAGGAGAATGTAAAACCTGTGACATAATAGGAGATAAATGTTTGGTCTTTGTCCCCTTTCCTGGCGCAGAGCTCCTAAAACCCTTGGAATTTCCTGAGCGATGCCCCGGGGCTATAGGAACATCTCTTCTTATTAACAAGCCCCTTTCGGCTATACCTGAATTTATGCTAATGAGGTAGTTCTAGGTGGGCCTCTCATTAGCTTCAGGTTGGGGCTGGAGGCCACAGGAACCAGCCTTGTGATTAGAGGGTCCAGCTTTCAGTCCCACCCCTTATTACTTGAATGGCTGGGTTAGCAAACAGTAACTACCAGAGAATTTCTCTTTATAAAAGTACATCAGCTAGCAACCGAAGAGGGAATGACAAAATTAGAATATCAGCATTTTATAATCGCTAATGGATCTAGCATTAGTCATCATTTCTTTTTATCTGTGGACCTGTAAAATTTTTCGTTTAATCCAAAAATGGATTCACAGGTAACTCTTTAGTTAATTACATATGTTACATAAAGTTCTAATCGAGGTTCTGGGCAGGGATTTATAATGGGTGAATTAATAATCAGGTAGTACTCCTGACTTACTCTGTGTCATTACTGAGAAATTGCTTGCTCCAAATTACCTGTCTATAAAACAGATAATACATACCTACCTTTTAGAGTTTCTCAAGTTTTCTGCTTATTAAATCAAGTGCTAGAGATCTATTACAATGGTTTGAATACTGTAAAATGACAACTCACAGAATGTTTTAGATGCCAAGAATGTTTTCATTGGAGTCTGGGGGAAGCATACGAAGTACCCCAGACCTCTAATTATTACCCTTGTTCTCAGTTTGTAATCGGTAAAGCTGCCTAAATGTGTGGAGGAGATGCTCCTGCCGTTATGGACGGTTTCTTTAGGAGACGATCGGTTCGGTTTACGCCTTTCTGAAAGCCGAGGACTGGGAAGGCGAAGGAAGACCGTCTTCGGGGTTCTGCAGTTGCAGGCAGGGACCTTCTGGGCCTTGGTTTGTAGGTTGACCGCGGGGCACGGGGATTTTAGCTGTAGTTCCTCATCCTTTGTTTGCTTCCTCATGGCTTCTGCAGACCCGGCTCACCTTCCAGCCCACGCTAGGTTGGCTCAGTTTCTTATTTTTGTGGAAGTTTCTCCTTGGTTGGTATGTAGAGTTTTTTTAAAGCGCAGTGCTTTAGACTAATCAAGAGAAATATACAGTAAATGATAGTTTTTAAAAGTGGTCAAACTTAAAACTTTCTCTTTGAGGCTGCCTAATAAGTTCCTTTCCAGGCAGCAGTTTGTAGAGTCCTTTCGGTGGGACACTGAGGTTGAGTAGACCTGGTCCCCACTGAGGCAGTCTGAGCCCGGAAAAGCAGCTGTCCCTGAGGGTCTGAACAGTGGTAAGTACTGTTAACTACCTGTCAAGGCCAAGGGCAAGGGCAGCACTCAACTTGACCAGTTATTTTTAACATGGGTGTGACTTTTCATGCCTACCTAATGATTCACAGCAGACAGTTTTATGAATCAGACAATTGAGCTGACCTTCAGGCAGCTCTGATCAGATTTTACAATAGTATCTGATAAAATTATGGATGAAAAGAGAGGGGAGAGTAATTTAATGTCTGCTCTGTGAAGTTTGGAGAGCCCCAAGAGTGTGGACTCTCATAATTGACAGTGACAGACTTGGGTTCAGAGTATTTAGTTTAGACTGTTTTTAAGTGTTAAAGTTGTTCACTTCTCTGAGGCAAAACAGTGTGGTATCTGGGGAAGCTCGGGGGTTTATACTCGGTGCCCCTGAACTTGGAGCCCACCGCTGCCTTTTCTTGCCTTGAGTTGTCGGGCATTTCAGTGTCCTCAACAGTGACCCGGAGCTGGTCGAATTCTCTCAGAGGGATTGTGATGATCACATGAAAGCTTACTGTATCTTATCAAGTTGCAGATCTAACTGATTGCTTGTGACACACCCTTATTTTTGTGTCACTAAGAAAGAAGAAACTGCCAATGAAAACCAAGTTTTGAGTGTAAGGTGCACCTGAAATTAATGGACGTTAGAACGTGGTGGACAAACTGCATCTTAAAAATCAACAAAACGCAGTGTATGTGAAAGTGGTTCACTGTAACAAGCCTCAGAAGTCATATTTAATTTTTATCGTACGGGTCAGGGATGGGGAGCAAAGTTACGAGGACAGATACCAGGGGGGATGCACAGACCAAGCTGGCTGGGAGAGCAGGTAGCTGAGGGGGGAAGGAGAAAGGGACCTTTCTAGGTCTTCATTCATAAAAAGTCGGCTCTTGGGCCTCAGTTTAGTTTTCAAAATGTGTACAAGTGTCTGTGGTCAGGGGATTCTTACTCTCGGCGAGAGCTGATCTCCCTCCAGGTTGGCTTTTGAGAGGGATCAGCTCGTGTGTGTTCACTGCATGGATTTTCCCGTTTTAGATTTTGTTGGTTTAGGACTCGCAAGTTCTTAACAGCCCATGGTTGACTAGCATAAGTGCAGACTTAAGGCTTCGGACAGAGTCCGCGCGCCACTCGTGGCCATTTTAGACTTTTCTGCTCTTGACTGAAGTTGTGTTATATTCAAGAACGTTTTTGCTCACGTGAGAGTTTGAGTTTTTCTTCTCTTTAGGTAATGCAGTTTCACTTAAGGAGAAGGTGGCGTCGTTCATTCACTTGTGTCCATGCCTTCCCCTTGGGACATTTGAACACAGAATTAGCAGCAGATGAGGATTTTAAGGACAAGTTGATTTCTGACTTTAGCGTGGTAGTCATTTCACATTATATAGGTGTATCAAGGCGTCACGGTGTACACCTTAAACTTACACCGTGTTGTCTGTCAGTTACATCTCAGTAAAGCCGGGCAGGTGTTACTTAGTAAAATCCAGGTGAGACCGAACAGTTTGCTCTAACAAAGAAAATGTTCAAAATAGCTCTAGTTGAATAAGATGTTTTCCAGATATCTAAAGTCTTTGCTGAAAGGATGATGTATAAATCTTATGCTCTCGATAGGAATAGCACTTTTTCTCTAAAGGGTCAGATAGTAAAATATCGTAGACTTCGAGGCTCACATGCAGTATCTGTTGCATGTTTTGTTTTCAAAACAGCCCTTTAAAGATGTGAAAATCGTTCTTGGCTGCGCCTCACCCCCACCCCCATGCAAAAAGAGGCTGCAGGCAGGGTATGCAGACCCCTGCTCTGGTAGAAAAGCCCCTTATTATGACCGGGGGCCCTGGAGAAGTGGCTGCTTCTAAAGCTGGAGCTTCCTGCCCTGCGGAAGGTGAGGAAGTGTTTGGGGAACAAAAGAAAAGGGCGGGGCATGTCCCAGGGGCCCAACGGCCAAGCGAAGCTGGAACAGTTTGAGTGACAAAATAATGATAATACTGGGTTCTAACCCCAAGATTATAAAATGTGCGTGTTTATAACTATATAAGCGACTAAGTGAGAGAGAAGGGACAAGTCTTCCTTGCAGAAGAACTCCAAAAAATAAATGTAGAAGGAATGTGAGAAATAGAAAATTACCGTTAGAAGGACGTGGTTCCTTAGCGTAGCGGTTAGCACGTCTGCTTTACACCCAGAAGGTCCTGGGTTTGAGCCCCAGTGGAGCCACGGCCCCTGGTCCACGGCCATGCCGCCCTGAACAAGCCTGATGTCTGATCTCGGAAGCTAAGCAGGGTCGGGCCTGGTCAGTACTTGGATGAGAGACCACCTAGGAAGACCAGGTGCTGTAGGCGTATCTGCAACCCAGATTGAGGAATGAAAATGTTGTCTACGGCCGTGCTACCCTGAACACACTCGATCCCTTCTGATCTCAAGAAGCTAAGCAGGGTCGGGCCTGGTCAGTACTTGGATGAGAGACCACCTAGGAAGACCAGGTGCTGTAGGCGTATCTGCAACCCAGATTGAGGAACATTCTACAGATAACTGACCAATAATCTCCAAAAATGTCAAAGTTGTGAAACGTAAGGAAAGACAGAAACCTGAGACTGGAGAAGACCAAGAGGACATGGTGGATAACGCGGTGTCGGTAGCCTGGATTGCATCCTGGAAAAGAAAAAGGGTATTGATGGGAAAGCTGGTAAACGCCGAATGAAGTCTGAAGCTCAGTTAGTAGCGTTACACTGGTGTTAATGTCTTAGTTTTGGTAAGCGTGCCATGGACCCGTGCAATGTCGGGGTAGTGGCAGCCCGCCGAAGGCCGAGCGGGCACCCCGTGTAGTCTCTGCAGCTCTTCCGCAAACCTGAGATCGCTTCAAAGTAAAAAGATTTTTACTAACTCTAACTTGTTATCCTGGATGGGTCATCAGTGTTATCTTGAGCGTTTACGCATTATTTTATTAACTCTCGGTGCCCTTTACATTTGGTGCAAAATACATTGATTTGCTTATTAAAGTCGATTTTGGCCTGTCCCTGTTGTTAATATTACTTATTTCTCTTTCCAGGAGACTCAACTGCTGCAGAACTGTCCTCATCTTTCGTGATCCTATCTGTGTGCAGTTTAATAATATTAATCGTGTTAATTGCAAACTGTGTATCTTGCTGTAAGGACCCAGAAATAGATTTTAAGGTGAGCGTGGTTGGTAAGAACATTTAAAATCGCCCTCTGATACATTTATCGATTGAATGGCTGGCTGTCACAGTCTCTTGGGAGCCAGGCTTGGCAAACAACTTCTGTAAAAGCCAGACAGGAAACATATTCTGCCGCTGGGAATAGTCAGTATGACAGGCCACACAGTCTCTCGTCGTGGCTGCTCAGCTCTCAACTCTGCCACTATAGCACCACCTCAGCCACAGACAGCACGTAAACAGATGGTCGTGGCTGTGTGCCAGTAAAACTTTATTTACAAAAATAGACGCTTCGGATTTGGCCCACCAGCTGTAGTTTGCTCACCCTGCCTTGGAGCATCGTTGACAGTTTTTAAGTTTTGATACGAGAGGAATAAAGTGTGGTGATTGAATTCACTTGCTGTAAGGAGTATAAGGTAGAGCAGGCTTGGTTTTGATTTTTTCCCAAACTCTTCTATGCTGGCGAATTTGTGGTGGTTAAGATAATCGAGGCCAAGAGGATTCCCCAGTGTGTATTGTATATGAAGAGAGAATTTTTCAGTTTACCCGGGATCCTGGAGTTCTCTAAATGGGGGAAAGGTGACTGCTGCCTATCGCAGGTATCGGGGGACGGGGTGGGGTGTGTTTGATCTAGACAGCTGGTGGCCTAGCTGCAGATGGGTGGGATCCGCCGGAAACCAGCTGGAATAGCCTCCTTAGAAGTAGCTCGGTGCCTGCTGGCGTGTCTCAGAGCTCAGTGAATACTTGTGAAAAAGGAACACACACGTGCAGAGAAAACGGTCCTTAATGGAGCGACCTACCTGCCGTCCTAGGTCTGTCCCAGGGTTCAAACTGGGAAAAAAATAGAAAGCTGTCTTCTAGCCAAAACCACCTTTTTAGTGAGTTCCTTATTTCTAGAACCTCAACCTGTTTCCATTGTATTCTCTTTATCTCGAATGTGGTAGTGGCGGCTCTGAGCGGTCAGGACGCGTGCTGTCCTTTTGGCTTGTTGCTAGCGTTACACACACGGCAGATTGAGGACAGAGGAAGGTTGGAGGAAGAGACGCACCAGCATGGTCTGTTCCTCAGATTTTACCCAAAACACGGGCTTTGTCCACATCAGCCGAGACCCTAGAGTCACTGCAGATACCGCTGTGCGCACTTAACGACTGTACCACGCGGGGCACAGTGGCAGGCAGAGAATCTGAGTCCCTTGACTGTCTTGTGTCGAAGGACTTTGCAAAGTACCTGGCCTTTTGGAGACAAAGATGAAGTCTGTTCATTGTTGCTGAAACCGAAATCCAGTTTCTCTCTCGTGCGTCATGACACCTCATTCCTGCCTTAGATTGTTCTGACCCACCGGTCTCAGTATTGAGCCAGGGAGTCTATGATGATGCACATTCAGGGGGTCTGTATTTTTATCGTGCTTCCCCAGGTGATTCTGATGCAGGTGGCCCAGGGGCCACACCTATAGAGGATCCTCTCCAGCTCAACAGACTGACAGAAGTATCACCACCTATAATTTGCGAGTTTCCTTTAAGATTTAAAACCGTGCAGTTTTAGAGGTGAATGGGTCCATATAAGTCATCTTAACAGACCAGGAAGCTACAGTCTGGTAAAGTAAGTGACTTGCCCAAGTGCACCCAGGTAGCCATTGGTGTAACTTTAAAAGTGATCCTGTCTTCTCGCACAGCCCCATTAAAAAAAAATTACACTATTCCCTCTCTGAACCTTTAGCATCGTCTGCAGCCTAACAGTTACTGTGTTGCTGCCACAGTGTGAGCGGCAGTATGTCTAAGGTGGGAGGACCTTCAGGGATGTCCTGAGGGAAAATTGAACACTGCTCTTGTTTGTAGAGGGGCCTCCCAGACTGAAGTTGCAGCGCATCATTGTCCTGGTCCCTCCTCTCATTACAAATAGCAGTAATGTCCTAATGCGTTTGACAGCGTATATGACATGAGAATAATGCCCCTTCACGTGCGTGTGAGAACATAAGTATTATATCAGAGAGATCTACCCTAAAACTTTTAGTGTTTTCCTTGTATGGGGGGCTAAGGGAGGTGGTAGAAAAGGACATCCTGTGGAAGAATGGAAGACAGTATGTTTCACTGGTCTGTTCTCAGCTTCTGTTATGGTGCCGGGTGGGGTAGCACTCGTTAATGAGCCTCACGAATGGGTGACCTCGATAGTCATCTGTATCTGTGTTAACATGGACACCAGGATAGACCCAGCTCACTGGAGTGACCATAGGAACAGGCAGGATAGCTCTCGCTGAGCAGAGTCACTTAAAAGGTTTCCATAACTCTGTTGGTGCAGCCTCCATTTTAAAGTCACCATCTTTAGAGAACCAGTTCTTAGAATGTCAATTGCACTTATGTGCTCCCCAGTTTATATGAATCTTGGTGGTTCAGATCTGGATGATTTTTCTACCCAGTTTAGTAATTTTTCCACTCTACTCTTTTTGGACAAGTAAGACTTATTTTAAAATATCTTTTCTGAGTCTTTTTAACTGTCCTTGTTTTGATTGAAATTACGTTGCAACTAGAAATGCATGTACAGTTTTCTAAATAAAATAAATTTGTTTTGATTCAGTATGGAAAGGGATCTATGAAAATGAATAATAATAAGAGAATAACTTAAACTAAACTGTAGTAACTAAGGTGAAGTTTTGAACCTAGAAGAGTATTTCCATTTTAAGTCATTATAGAAAATTTTACATTTAACTTGAAGCTATCAGTTTAAAAAGTAACATAAGACATATATAATTTATTTTCAAATCTTATTTATTCCGCTATTTGGAGTTGGAGAACACAATTACATATGCTTTTTACTTGCAATAAGTATGAATTGGAAAAAAAATTTATGACCGTGTGTCCCAGATGTGCGAATAAACGTTCATATCTTAACTGTGAGCACGTTTTTTGCTATTTGCTCTCAAACTGATTTATATTAGATATAACATCGCTCTTCTTTTATTTTAGGAATTTGAAGATAATTTTGACGATGAGATCGATTTCACGCCCCCAGCAGAAGACACTCCCTCTGTTCAGTCCCCAGCAGAAGTCTTCACGCTCTCAGTACCAAACATTTCACTGCCGGCTCCGTCACAGTTCCAGCCTTCTGTGGGTAAGGCCCTGTGTCCTCACGTCATGTTTTCATGAGTCATTTCTCAGGAGTGAGAATGGGAACTTTGCCGCTAATTGTAAAATAATTGGGCCGCCTGTCCGCTTTGCTTGCTTGTTTCTCTTCCTTCTGCTCCCTGGTGATGCTAAATGACAAGCCCATTGCGTTCTGGCCAAAGCCAAGTCCTTTCCTTTTGGACTCTGGGTCTGGTACAAGAATAAACCAGTCTTGGTTTATTAAAATGGAACTCTCGGACAAGCTCCTGCCTCTCCTTCAGTAGACAGGCTTCTCCACTTCTCAGCGCTGCTTGTCTTTTACTGGGATGTCCTGTGTGTGGGAGGGACAGTCCCTGGGGGGTCCCTACTCCACCATGAAACTAAGGACTGAGTAAAGGCCACCGGAATGGTGATGAGAGGTCACAGAAAAAACACTGCCACATATTAAAGAATCAGGGTAGGACACGCATTCAAAAATATCGTCAGTTTTAAAACTTGGAACCTTTTTGGCATTATTAGTTTGAAAGAGATGTTTTATGTATGTATTTCTCCCTTTGTTAGCACAAGCATTAAATTTGTGTGTGTACTTTATAGGTTACATATTTAATATTTATTTCAGTTAAATATTTATATTTAATTTTAAATGTTCTTTTTCCTACAGAAGGTTTGAAGTCTCAAGTTGCCCGCCACAGTCTAAACTATATACAGGAGATTGGAAATGGCTGGTTTGGAAAGGTAAATGTTGTTCACTTTCGCTTTTTCCCTCCTTCTTACACTGTTTAGAATTTAAAGCTGACTAAATATTGTATCACATGATGTCCCACATCCTCTCTAGACACCGTAGTCACAACCGAGATTCCCCGTTGCCCCCGAAACCTCATGGGAACGTGAGCTTCGGC